TCAACTCCTGATAACTTGTCGCGCCAAGGAGAAAGGTGGGATCAAATGAGGTACATTTGCACATGTGTATAACTCGCCACTCCTGATAATCCCATATGAGTTATCAGGAGTAGCAAGTTAGACAAATGTGTAAACGCATAAATAAATGTGGCTGGGATATCAAACACTGACTTAAGCGGCAGTGACAAGTTTTATGGAGTTAATAATCCCTCAAAAGTATAATAATTTGGTCACTTAATCCACAACTGTGTGCAATTGGCTGCCGTGTTTCGCCCACAACACGGCATACCATACACATACCATACAAATTTACGATGCTTTATAGCATATTCTGTGCTTTGAGATGTCTCAAACGACGTGATAAGGCACTATAAATGCAAGGATTAGCATTATTATAAATTAAGATAGGGTCGAGTTATTAGGAGTATACTGTAATAACAGAAGATAGGATACAGCACATTATATCAGAGTTGCAACCACAAAGCCCTTTGAATAATGATGATTAAATTAGTTACAGTAAGGTGTTGTTAGAAATGCCTCATGTTACTGACAGTACAATCTGGTTCAGTTATGCCATCTTCTAACCAGGATGCCATTGTTGGACGTTGAGATCATGGCTATTTGTTATTATATCAGCAATTGAAGTGTTAAACTGTGTAGGGCTGTGTCAGCCAACTTTTTGAGCCAGTCAGTGCAGCAAAAAAAATGTTTAACAGAATTATTTTTTGTTGATGATGTTGTTTTGAATATTCTTACATCAGCATTGCATGATTTTTTTTCTCCTTGAGTAGTTTTTAAATCCAAAATGTATCTATAACATCAAGAGAGCTTGCAAAATGGGACCAGTTTCGAAATAATTCATGTTTCACCAGGTTGGGTCAAGTCATGAAAGGCAGATAGAGAAGTCTAGCGAGAGAGGGGGCTATTTCTCACATGTGGCGTCCAACCCACAGGGCTATCGGTGAGTTCACTCTACCGCTCACCCATGAGAGAATCGTCTGGTCGGGGAAAGGGCGATTGAGAGAAGGCATCAAAACCTATGAAAAAGTTATACAAACCCCCAAAAGATCAAACGTTTCATTTTAGATTTATTTTAAATAGCTGCGACTCAACTTAAAAAACACACAAGTTTTAAGTACAAACCCCTATGTCGATTTCGCCTTTTGTAACTTAACAGTACTGAGCACAATTTATATATACATACATTTAGATATATGTATATATATCAGTGGAACTGAAGGCAAATAAGAAAGGAATCATTCGGATACTGTACTCAGGTAAGGTGCTCAATATGGCTGATATATTGTTGCCTTCTGGAATAGGTTTAATGCGCTGTTCGCAGATAAAATGGTGACTTGCGTTGTTGCGCGTTTGATTTGTTACTCTAATCTTCAGAAGCGTTCAACTTTCAGAACTTTCATAATTCAGTAAATCTTGGACCAATTTTTTTTAATAGTGGATGCATGTCTCAGGTATGTACATACCTGAGTGTGTGAGCTCTGGAGAATTGAGTCATTGGAGAATGTATTTGCATCACCAATTTAATTAATTAATTTTCGCTGGAGACGAGATGACTGATTACAGACGAGTTTAAGGCTTAAGTGACTTGTACGGATTTCAGAATACTCTCATCATCTCTATTATATTAATTAACAATTCATTATATTAACAATTATTATTATTAGTGTTATTGTTGATTTACCACAACATATAAATTCTCCTTGTTGATTCACCTAATAATAAAACGAGCTAAACTTCGCTTTTCATTTTAAATAGTTGTAAATAGCATTCACTTACCTGGGCAGTAAGATAGTGGGTGCTGGTGTTTTGTTTAGCACAAAGCAAAGTTGTGGACGCTTTTCTATGGACGAAAATGCATTGTTCCTGCCAACGTGCAAATGTTTTGAATTTGGGGAGGTATTTTGTATGCAATTCTCTGTACATTATAGTTTCATAACAGTGGGATTTTTGTACCCCAGGAAGTTCTAAATCAGGTTCCCAGCACCTGACACACACCCCAGAGGTTTGTGAGTAAACGAGCAAACAGCGTAAACAAAATCCAATCAGGTTGAACTGCACTTAAGAATGTTTTATTGTCAAATCATTCCACCCAATAACATGTTCACATCTAGGGCTGTGACAGTTCTGATCCAGCTGTAAATTAGTGGTATATTTAGTACCCCTATATTGAATAACGAAATACATAACGACATATGTGAGGCATTTGCAAATTCAGATTATTATTAGTGTCACATTGGGCGCAATAACCTCAGTTCAGACAATATCACACTTGGTCTCGATGCCTTGGGTGTGTGACTAGCCTCAAAATAAAAAAAAGAAAATTATTAATAATAATTTCGCCCTCGACTAATTTGTGTCTTCGACTCAAATATTTTGTAAATAAAATTGTTTTTGTTTCGCACACAAACTACACAGTCACTATATTTTACCGTATATTCTTTGAAGCCCTTTGAGCGGTTTCAACGATGTGATAAGGCGCAATAACGAATGTAAGGATTATTATTATTAAATACACGCCCGATTGGGTGCTTTGTGCATTGCTCTTTCTGTAATTGTTTTTCGCACAAAATCCATTTTTACAGTATATCCTGTGAAATGCTTTGAGAAGTCTAGACCAGTGATAAAGCGCTATATCAAATGCAAAGGATTATTATTAATATTCATTTTCCCTGTCCTGTTTTTGGAGGCGAGTCACACACCCAAAGAATCGAGACCAAGTGAAACATTGTCTGAACTGAGATTATTACGTCAAATGTAACGCCAATAATCTGAGTTTATGTCCCCGTCTTCGTGAATACAACACAGATATTGTTATATATTTTCCATTCAACAATATACCAAAAAGTCAAAGCTTAAAATGATGTGAAAGGTCTTCTCAGATCACCAAGCAACAAAATATAGATGTGTTTCCTTCTTCTGGTGAATTCGCTAGAACAATAACTTTCGCGTTATTAACCACCAATATGGGATCCAGTTTATAATTAGACACAGTATTTCCCTTTCACTAAGTGTCACTTTATTATGTTCACTTTTCGTAAAAAAAAGCAAATCGTTCATACGGCTGATTCCAATAACGCGGGACTCAACACATACAAATTAGAGAGATTTGTTTCAATAATACTTAATTATCGTTTCTTTTGAAGATGATTATTTTATTTAAAAAATATTTTATTTTAAAAATATTTATTTTTATTAAAATAAAATAATCTTGTTCAAAAGAAACGAGAATTAAATATTTTATCTAAATAGATAAGAATTAAATAGATAAAAAGATTTTATTTTAAATAAAATAAGTTTCATTATTTGATAAATGAGTTAATAAAGGATTTCGGTGCAACTGGCTGAAACCTGTTTAGTATTAATTGATTCCGATAAATAAATAAAACTAGATCATTAAACATCACAACTTTTTACAAGTTAAATAGCAAATAGCAGCAGCCACTAAAATGTTACCAGTCTGTCTCGTCCAACGCTGTGTTGTTGAGTTTTTTTTGTCATGTTTTAATTTTGTTGACTCGCTGATTGCTGTTTCCTCTTTATAATTGGAGCCTTTTAATCGTCTCTCTTCCAGACTCCCTTATCAGGGATTGAAGTATCTGAAGTGTGTGTGTGTTTTCTTTCTTTGAGACACAACTTCCCGGCTCCCCCAAGACTTGTCGCCTCTTCTGGTTTCTCTCTTCTCACGCTTTAGGTAAGCGACCAGGAGTTGTGAGCTGTCAAACTGTGGTCACTATTCACTGTTCAAATATACAGTACATCCTTATTACCACCCACCAACCCTCCACACCACACACACACACCTCCGCCCACCCCCTCCCCAAGACTTTTTAAGAAGGTTGTGGAGAGATAGCAAATTTGCTGCAATTTGCTTTGTCTCTGAGCACATTGCGGCTGGTCATCCACTCACAGCAGCCAAATTCACATTCAGTGCGATCTGTCAGGGTTTAAATGCAATAAGAATACCAAAATACTAGATTTTCTCGCAATCACCTCCCTGGCAAAGGTGTGTTACTCTCAGCCCCACTGCCTATCGATCCAAGTTTTGTCCAAGTTCCAGAAAACGCAAGTTGTTTCATTAAATTACCCTTTCTGCTGACAAAACATCCCGATTGACATTGATTCTCTGCAAAAGATCATCATCATTGATCGCACAGACAGTCAGAAAATATCGAAACCCCTTCAGATTGTGCGCCTTTTCAATTACAAGTATATAAATAAAAATATATGAACAATTTTATATTTTATAAAACAAACAATTTTATATTTTATAAAAATTCACTTTACAGTAGCGATTTGAGAGGTCTCACCGACACGATAAGGCGCTAAATCAAATGCAACGATTATTATTATTAATATTATTATTTTATGAAGTCAGGTGCCTTTGCTGTTCTCTCTGCAGGCGTGGTGTGCAAGCAAATCTCTCGTAGAAGTTAAACCTTTATTTTCAAGTTTCGATTGTCTTTCGGTCAGTCAGAATGGGTATAATATTTTCTTAACAATGAGAAAAGTGTTGCATTGAAACGATGCTATGGGGGGAGGGGGGGGGCGGTCTTGCAACTACGACCCAATAACTGTTGGAATAAGTAGAAAATGTTTTTTTTATTATTATTTTGTTGGTTTGTGGTCTCTTTCTCCAATCATTACTTGTTGTCGAGCTTTCTGTGAAAGGGACATTACTATCGCAGAGTGTTGGAGAAATAAATAGGTGGAGAATATATTTAATGCATTGGGCCAGCGATGCTTAGGCCATATTAGGTGTATATTATCAGGGCGTGTGATCGTCAATGTAGTGCCCCCTAATCCAATCGACGTGTGTAAACGTTGGCCTCTCTCTCTCTCTCTCTCTGTAATGTGACCTCCCATTTACTGATGTCACACACCTCGTCCACAACTACATCCTTCAGTCAAATCACAGAGAGGAATAGAGGGCGTGTAGCGGAATACTTAAAATGCACAGCTAATATTTTTTGTGTGGGAAGAATCTGAGTGAAAATCAAACTATTTTAATAACAACCCTCTCCCGTTGTCGAGCCATTATACTGTACTCTGTCTGAGATAATCTGGCGACACTACTCGCCTCTTACAGACCATGTTTGCCTGTTCAGCGACATCCACTCCATTCTCTGTAAAGGATATTTTAAATCTACAGCAGCGACCAGAGATAGCGCCTCTGCCCAGATCGGCTGATTTGGAGTCTATCCCGTTTCCTGCATCGTGTATCATCGGGAGGATCAAACACTCCTGCGGGGAAACTGACCCTCAAGCGCCTTTCATCGACTCCCTGAGCCACTCAAACCCGGGCAGGAACCAGACAAACTATTGCAGCGTTTTACCGGCAGATTACTTGGAAATGGACATAGACAACAGCAACAACAGCAGAGAAGCCAAGACAAGCAATGGATGTAGCGGGAAAAGTGAAAAAGGCAAGCTCTACCCCCCCACCCCCCCACCCCCCCCACCCCCCCACCCCCCCACCCCCCCCACCCCCCCATCCCCTCCATCCCCCCCCCATCGCCCCCATCCACCCACCAAACCCAGAACATTGCAAATAGTGTTGAAAAGCATTGTCTCAACAATGCATTGTCTCAACAATGTTTTTAAACAAATAATAATCCTTGCATTTGATATTGCGCCTTATCATACAGTTGAGACGTCTCCAAGCGCTTCACGTGAAAAACTGTAAAGTGTATATTTTTGGGGCGAAAAAAAGGTCATGTAAACCACAATTGTCTACCGAGTCAGTCTTCATAAACGGCACCAAATCCATGATATTATAATTGTCAAATATGTATATCAGATGACGGGTGAACGCAGTTCATTTTAAATTAAGTATTATGCACTGAAATTAACAATTACAGCCTGATACAATGGTCTAGATATCACTTGTATCAGTTCCCTGAGCCTAAAGTAAAGTAATCGGTAGTTCAGTGCAAACATTGTTCTGATCTTCAAGATTTTATTTTTTTACACAAACACACACGAATCGCCTAAAATAATTCTCTCGTTAGCGGATTATTGCAATCACCAATTGCCTAAAATACATGTGAGTTTTGTAAAAAAAATCTCAGATTAGTAAAGTAACACAATTCGTTTTAACATGTCTATTTTACTGCTTTTAAACTAGATATAATAGCTCCCAGTTGTGAAAACTCTTTATGTACTCGTTATACGTGTGTCAACACGCAATTTAATAGATATTTGAAGACAAGAAACAATTCAAAAGTGAATTGTTGACGAGGGACCATTTGTCTGGTCAGAACCACAGCCGGTGTTAATACTTTATCATTTAAACCCTTCCCGGCCAAACCTTTTACTGAAATATAAATTTTAAAAAATGAAAGCATTAGTGAGATTGAGGTTTGAATCCTCTCGGCTACGTTTGAGGTTTCGATGTCTATATTGAGGCAATGCTTTGATTTGTGAAAAGATCGTTGTGTGGGTTCAGAGAGACTCTCGATCAGTGGAAACATTCTGGAGAAAGAATTCAGGATTTAAGATTGATCGCCGATTATAACGTATATTTCAGATTTAAAAAAAAATGGTTTGGTTTCTAAAGCCGCGTTGGTTTTTATAGCATTTCCAAACGAATTCTTTGAAAGTGTTTTTAATTTTTTTGTTTTTATTATTAAATAAAATCTAATTCACAGAAAACAAGACGCATTAAATGGGAATATTAAGGTGCAATAAATAACATAGGTTATAAAAACCGAAATAAACCAACCAATCTCTGGTGTGTTTTTTTATTTAGTTGGAACAACATTATGTTTCAATTGCCTGTGAGTATGAAATTGTGAACAGAAATTTACGATAAAAAATGACATGGAGCAAGAAAAAGGAAAAGGGTTGCAATATACAAGAAGTGTTTTTAAATGTAATTTCTCAATCCCCCGGCGGGTCACCCTGACCTTGTCAGTGGATCCTTTTTATTACTGAATTACAAATAGATATATTTCTGGCTGGCAATGCCCAAACACCCTAAACTTGTAGCATTCTGAATGTTAATGTTACACCATTATAAAAATCCCGAGCATTGTATAGAAAAGCTTGCCTTTAACGAAAAGATATTCACATGAATACTGATAGTTTTGTGTCCTCGCCTCTCAATTCTCAAGTCATTTCACTATGTCCCGGGTCTGCTTTGGGTGCTGGGAATCAGCAGAATTTAAAGTATTGCATTGTGTCCTTTTTTAACTTTTTTTAACTTGTCAAATTTAACTTTATTTAAATTTTACTTTTCTTAATTTCGATTAGCAATGTTAAAATACTTATTAAATTTAATCAAAACTTTAATTTTCTTAACTTTCATTTGCAAAGTTAAAACTTGGTAAACTTAATTTAGTTTTTAATTTTCTTAACTTTGATTAGAAAGTTGTTAAATTTAATTCAAACATTAATTCTCTTAATGTTCATCAGCAAAGTTTAAAAACTTGTTCAGTTTCATTTAAGCTTCATTTTTTTTAACTTCAATTAGCAAGGTTGTGAAACTTAATTAAAAGTTTGTCTTAAATTTGATTAACAAAGTTAAGAAAGGTTTCAAAAACATGTTAATTTGATTAAAACTTTTTTTTCTCCTTTGAAAGAATGTCTCTGAACTGGGCACAGGAGTTCTGAAAGTTATTTTTTGGGGGAAGGAAATTAAACATATGATGGGACTGGGAGAGAGATTAAGGAGAGCGGCTCTGACCACTTTGTTTTGCCTGTGTAGAGTGCCGCTTGGTGGAGAAGGAAGGGAAGAAAGTGTTGGAAGTGGAGCGTCCCAGGCGGAGGAGGCGCAAACCAAGAGTGCTCTTCTCTCAGGCTCAGGTCTATGAACTGGAAAGGCGCTTCAAGCAGCAGAAATACCTGTCCGCCCCTGAGAGAGACCATCTGGCCAACCTGCTCAAGCTAACCACCAACCAGGTCAAGATCTGGTTCCAAAACCGCAGGTACAAGTGTAAAAGGCAGCGCCAGGACAAGTCACTGGAGATAGGTGGACTTCCAGGTCCTAGAAGGATCTCAGTGCCAGTGCTGGTCAGGGATGGGAAATCGTGCCTAGCTGATCCTTCACCTTACACTTCACAGTACAACATGAATATCAGCCCTTACGCCTATGGCACTTATCCAAACTATGTCAACTACACCAATGGGGCTTCCAACGCCAACTACAGCTGCAACTACCCTGGGGTGCAAGCCATTCCCTCCTCCACATCACAGAGTGGTTTCATGCACATGAATTTTGGTGTCAATGACTTGAACCCTGCTGTTCAGACTCAGATCCACCAGAATAGCGGTGTCTCCACAATGCATGGCATCCGACCCTGGTAATGCCAACCTTAATCTACATTGTTTCGCCCACAAAATATACAGTCAATTCACTTTTTACAATATATTGTGTGAAGCACTTTGAGACGTCTTGAAGATGTGTTAAGGCGCTATGTCAAATGCAAGGATTATTATTAATCTAACATCGAGCTCCTAAAGCAGGTAATCTGGACAAAGTATTGGGGTAGCTGTAAACGCTCATAGATACCTCCCCTTCCCTCTCTTGTCCTGCCCCTTTATGTCAGGCAAAGTTCCGAAGCATAGTGATTAGCGTGCTTGTCTCGCAAGCGAGAGGACCCAAGTTCGATTCCCAACTTGGGTGTAACCTTAGGCAAGTTTCCTTGCTCTACATGCCTCTGTTCACCCATCAGTAAATATGAACCTGGTTGTTAGTCGATTGGCAGATTGCTTTCCAGGGGTAATAATCCCTTCAAAAACAAGTTGGGCACTCAATCCACGACTGTTTGCTGGATGCTACTCTGTGCAATTGGCTGCCGAGTTTTGCCCACAAAATACAAAGTCAATCCACTTTACACTATATTCTGTGAAGCGCTTTGAGACGTCTCAATGACGTGCTAAGGCACTATATCAAATGCAAGGATTATTATTATTATGTAAAGGCTGGTATGAAAGTCACAATGTCACTCTTTTCTATTTCCCTTCCTTTTTGCTACAGCATCTCCTGAAAAAGTTGGTTTGCGAGCATTTGTGTTCCCATTTCCAAGCAACGTGATTTTGTTGTGGTTGCAAAATAAACATTTTTGGGGGGGAAAAAGAAAGATCTTGGAAGAATTGGTCACTTATTTATATGCATTGTTAATATAATTTATGAATTTATTTAATAAAAACTTGGCCACATGTTGGATGGACCTAGTGAATTAAAAGCACCACCTATTTTTTTGGGCAGTTGGATGTCTGAAACATGCAGAAACCCATCACTTTGCTTAAGAGTATCCAAGACCTCCTGAGACTCAGTATTTCTCATATCTTACTTAGCCTTTGGATAATATGCCCCTAATTCTGGAATTCACCTCCTCTGCCCCTCCATCTTGCCCTCCCCCAATCTCTCTTTCTTTAATTCCTGTCTTAAAACCTACCTCTTAGACCATTACTGTGCTCACCTCCCCCCTCTCCACTTGTTCCACGCTTGGCATCTTTGTAAAGCTCTTTGTCCAAAACATGAAGAACGCTATGTAAATGCAAGTTGTTATTCTTACGGATTTTGTAAACAATGTAAATTCAGATTGATTTCAAAGTGATTTTTTTCAGAACTATAGAACACCAGGTTCCAAATTAAGACTGATTTTAAGGCTTTGTATCCCCAACCAAAAAAAATCAATTGTGTACAACCTTTAAAGGGTCATTAACCCCGTAAATTTATAAAATTTATTTTGAAAATCACCTTCTGGATGTAATAATCCTTAAAAATATAATAATGTGGACACTCAATCCACAACTATTTGTGGGACACTGCTGTGCACAATTGGCTGCCATGTTTCACCCACAAAAATTTACTTTACAGTATATTCTGTGAAGCGCTTTGAGATATTTCAACGACTTGATAATGCGCTATATCAAACGCAAGGATTATTATCAACTTAATTTTCAATCTCATAAGGCTAAGGTCATGACACATTTCAGGCCTCTGTTCTCTATCTACTCAGTTTTGATGAAAATTATCTTGTGTAGAGAACAGATCAGGGCCCACTATGATGCCTTCAATGTGCATAGCCTGCCAACATTTCTTGTCTCGGGTCATGTATAAAGAATGGCCACTTGGGAAAAGCTATTGACCCAACTGAATAACCTGGGTGAGTCTGTGCCTATGAGCTATAAAGTGTATATTTATATATGTGTGGGTCGGCCTCTCCCTCTTGATTAATAGAACAATGTAAAAATACTACTGTATTGATGCGAATTCTGAGTCCACTTTATGCAGAGAAGCAAGTTACTGTAGCTGGAGAAAGCCCTAGACATCGAGTATATTTAGATAGTGAATCAGGTAGAAAAGCAACACCGTTGGATCATTCACTAAAGCTGTCACTGCTTTAACTTACTTTTTTAATAGCATTATATAAATCCATCAGTTATAAAACTGCAGACATGTTTCTCTCACAACATTCATGATGGTATAAGAGTTATAATTCTTTGGGTATGGAGAACAGTTACTGTTCAGACAGTAAACAGTGTGCAATGCAGTTTTTTGTTTATTTCAGTCTTGTGAGAGTTACAATGCATTTATATTAAACTATGTATATACACATTAATTATTTGAAATTAAATTAATGATATACTTTTTCCTGCTTGCTTTGCCTCTTTTCATTAAAAATAAATCAACAACAACAACAACTTGCACTTATACAGCATTTCAGAGCGCTTAACAATGGCAAAGCCTGGCTCCGAGACGGGGGGAGAGGTGAAACGGTCAAAGAGGAAGGCTTTCAGTGGGGCTTGAAAAAGGGGAGAGAGGGGGCAAGGTGGAGGGATTGAGGGAGAGTTTTCCAGAGTTTCGGAGCGCAGTGGCTGAATGCGCGAGCTCCAATGGTGGAGCGGAGGGTGCGAGGGGCAAGTAGGAGACCAGTCAACAAGCCAGTTGAGCAGAGGCGCTGGGTGGTGAATTGGGGAGTGAGGAAGTTGGAGAGGTAGAGAGGTGACAGGGAGTGAAGGGATTTGAACACGAGTGTGAGGTTCTTAAAGTTGATCCGTTCGGTGGAGCCTGGCCAGAACTGGTGAGATGTGGGTACGAAGTTTAGTCCGGGTCATTATGCGGGCAGCAGAGTTCTGAATGAGCTGGATTTTTGGAACAGTGGAGCTGAGGAGACCGGCATGGAGTGCGTTGGAGTAATCCAAGCGGGAGGTGCCAAGCACATGCACAAAGTTTTCAGTTGCATTTGGGATAAAGTACGGTCGGAGGCGGGCAATGTGGTGGAGGTGGAGGAAGGTGGTCCTGGTCAGGGACAGGATGTGGGGAAGGAAGCACAGCTGGGGGTCGAACCAGACACCTAGATTGTCACACAGGTTCGGTGAGTCTGAGGGAAAGGTTGGGGAGGTTGAGGAGTTCAGATCCGCAGGAGTGAAGACCTTGACGGAAGCCAAGGAGTTTGGTTTCCGTCTTATCCGCATTCAGTTGCAGGAAGTTTGCACTCATCCAAGCTCTGCTGTCGGCCAGGCAAGCTGATAGAACATTGGCGGACCTGGAGTTGCAGCTGGAGGAGGCAAAGTAGACTTGTGTGCCATCCACATACATGTTGAAGTTTAACCCGTGTCTGCGGATGACATCGCTAAGAAGGAACATAAGGTAAGAGGACCACGGATAGAGGACTGGGGTGCCCTGGAAATCAAAGGAAATTATCACCACCCAGTGATTACTCATAAACACTCTGAACAAACCAAACGACAACATTTAAATACTTAAATGTATTTAAACCAATACTTAATATTTAAAAACCAGTTTGATGTTGTGATGAGAGGATGGTTGGGTGGGTGTTCTGAAGGCATGAGATTGGATGGCTCAAAGGGCCTTCTTCATCCAGACCAAACTTGTGAAAAAAATGTGGTCACTCAACTCAGACTGTTGGTATGACACTGCTGCACGCAATCGGCTGCCGTGTTTCGCCCACAAAATACAGTCCACTACAATCCACTTTACAACATATTTTGTGCTGCGCTTTGAAACGTGTCAATGTTGTGATAAGGCGCTGTATCAAATAGAAGTTTTTTTTTATTATTTTGCTTACAAATGACCATTTCGTATTACACTGAATATAAATATGGTGAAAAATAACACATTTGATAAGTTTCAAACGCACTATTACTGTTAAGAATTGTTGCATTTTCACCCCACAAAAGAACTTCCAAAGAGCGAAGGAATTTATTTGAATTTACTACAATTCTGCACAATAAGAGAAAATGGTCTTGCAGCCTAAGATTGGGTGGAATTGCGTGCCTATAGTGTGTCAAGCAATAATTTTCATTCCTAGGTGGAATAGGAGTTGTGTTAAGTGTCAGTCTGTGTGAGAGAGAGAATTTTGGGTGAGTGAGAGTATGAGTGGGTAAAGGGGAGAGGGAGAGGTTTGACGTTTATGAGTTTATAGAATCTCAGAGCATATATATGACATTCAAAGGGCAACAGCTGTAATGCATAGTTGCCATTGCTACAAAGCAGTTTATTCTTTGCATCAGCTGGAGAATAGTTTATCAACTGGCCCAGTTGATAACACTCTTGCCCTGAGTCAAAAGATTATGAGTTGGAAATTAAACTTGAGGTGTTGTCCTCATTTCCCATCTGCCTGTCCAGGGGGTTGTAAATATCCAATGACTTTACTCAAAAAGAGAAGGGAGTGTCCCAGTGTCCTGACTCACAATACTCGCCCTATGGCTGTCTGTTCACAAATTGTCTGCCACATTTGCCTACAATATACATTTGACAGCAACGAACTGTGAATCTCTTTGAGACAAATAAGAAACATTGTTTAATTATAGCCAAGCACATATTTGGTGTTGGGTGTAAGACCACTGTGGGAGTCAGTGTAGGATAATTGGAAGAGATACAAAAAATATACTTGGGTGCTTTGTTGAACTTGCTTCAACTTGTTAACTTCCAATCTGCTCTTTTCTAATGTTAAAAAATATGATCAGCCAGAACTTGGGCATTAATGACTTACATAGGCAGAATTAGATCAGTATAAGTGATGGCCAAACACACCCAACGTGTGTGAGAGAATAGATGTGTATGTGAGAGAGATAGTGCCCAAATGCGTGACACTTGTCATCATTGTGTGTGTGAGTGCAACTGTGTGTATGAGACAGACTGAGTGTTAATGTGTGTATATGACAGCTCGGGGAAAAATTCCTCTTGCTGCTAATTATAGAAACTTTAACAATGTGCATTTCTAATGCCGAACCCATTATAAGAACACATCTGTCAAAGTTGCTGCAATATGTGAGGTAAACTTAGGACATTGCTATCATTGAAACAAGAGGCCATTTTAGCCATCGAGCCTGTTCTCCCAACAATTACCGGATCCTTAAATCACATTTCCTGCCTTTCTCCAAAGCCTA